GGGAGAAAGTATAATACCGCGAAAAGTTTTATGAAATGCTCCTAATAATAAAGAACTCTCAAAAAACATTTTAAGTGATTCCGAAATACCATTCCTGTTTGATGATTCATGTTTAACATCAATGTTATGGGAAGTGTTTTTGAAATTCAAAGAGCCCAATGATCTGTGATATGTTTTTAAAACTAGCTAAGGTTATTTTCATTTTTGCTTGAAAGAATTGATAAAATAAAATATCGATTAAAAAAGTAGGATACCGAGAAAATAAAAGTCAATGAATGCAAATAAACTATCAAAAATTTCGGATTAAATTTCTGAAAAAAATAAATTTCTATTTGAGTGCTGCACCAGTAAAATCTGATTTTACCTCAAAGTTTTATGTTGTAATTTTTATCTATTTAATTACAGTGGGTTAATGACGTTTTTGAAAATATTACTATAAAAATTACGGTATATCAGTCTTTTTTCACTTAAAATTTTATGGTAATAGAGTAAATTTATACTATTTAATTACGTAATTTTTATCTATTTAATAACAAAGGGTTAATGACGTTCCTGAAAATATTACTATAAAAATATTACTATAAAAATTACGGTATATCAGTCTCTTTTCCCTCAAAATTTTATGGTAATAGAGTAAATTTATACTATTTAATCACGCAATTTTTATCTATTTAATTACAAAGGGTTAATGACGTTTCTGAAAATATTACTATAAAAATTACGGTATATCAGTCTTTTTTCACTCAAAATTTTATGGAAACAGAGTAAATTTATACTATTTAATTACGTAATTTTTATCTATTTAATTACAGTGGGTTAATGACGTTCATGAAAATATTACTATAAAAATTACGGAATATCAGTCTCTTCTCACTCGAAATTTTATGGTAATAGAGTAAATTCATACTATTTAATTACGCAATTTTTATCTATTTAATTACAAAGGGTTAATGACGTTCATGAAAATATTACTATATAAATTACGGAATATCAGTCTCTTCTCATTCGAAATTTTATGTTAATAGAGTAAATTCATACTATTTAATTACGTAATTTTTATCTATTTAATTACAGTGGGTTAATGACGTTCATGAAAATATTACTATAAAAATTACGATATATCAGACTTTTTCACTCAAAATTTTATGGTAATACAGTAAATTTGTACTACGGTAAATTTATACTATTATTTTCAAAGCAATTTTTATTTTGTTACACTGATTTCGTGATTTTACTGTAAATATCACTCTAAAAATTACAGTGTACCAGATTTTTGTTTTGCACACATTTACGATAAAAATAGATGTTACGGTAAAAAATACTGGTCCCTGAGTACTGGTACTTTTTTTAGCAATTTGATCGGGAATTTCTTACAGTGTGTTAGATTTATTCATTTGGCATATAAATTTCAATTTCGTAACGATACACTATTTTAAGAAGTAAAATTTAGAAATAAATCTGAAAAATACATAAAGAAAAAAACATTTTCTTAATTTTGAAAAAAAAGCTTTGATATAAAATTATGAAAATATGAGTTGTTTCACTTCTATAAATTATAATTGATTCTTTGAGAGTCAAAATTTTCTTTCCTAGGAATTTAACAATGTTATTTTTTTTAAAAGAAATACTGCGGTTTTTCTATGAACTGCCTTTCAAAGCTCAAACCACATATTTAATACAGACTTTAATGTTTAATATTTGTAAAAGCTCACAAATCTGAGATGTAGTTAAATTTTCTAGAACATTTCTATAAAGCAGCCCCAATTGGAGCAGCTTAACTGCTGGTTTACAACAGTGTCTAATAGTAGTACAGAAGTACCTCAAATAAAATACTATTCGAAATTGTTAGTATTTGAAATGAAAAATACTATTGTCAGTATTCGAAATGAAATCTTCTATGCCATTAATAACTGGGAAAAAATAGTAACTTCTACACGAAGAAAAAAATTCTGGTAAAACTACGATACTAATAACGATAAAATTATGATAGTAGATTAGATTGATTTAAATTGTTGCAATTGATATTTATCGTTTACAAATTTAAAATAAGCACAGCAGTGTTTCTTCTCTATATAGCTTAAAAATAAATAATTTAATAAAAACAAGTAGTCATTTCTGGTTAAAAAAACATCCTTATTCTGTTTAATAAAACCAAAACATATGGTATTTGAATAATTTATTAACTGATCTTTCTCTGCATATGATGACGGTTTACAGGAGATTATGGTTTTCAAAATTATAGTTCTGATTACCATGCAGATAGAAAAAAATACAAAATTGAAAAAAAAAATTTAACCGAATAAAGAGTTTTGATTCCATGCTCTAAAGTATCATGATGAAATTACTAAATTTTACCACATCTATCAAATTGTATCACTTATTATAAAACCATATTTTATTGCTAATTCTATTAATATCATCCCCAAGTGCTTTGGAGAAAATTACCGAGTTTTTGTTGTTTCCGTACAGCCAGAAGCACGGTAAATTTTAGCTTATTCTGGTAGTTTTAATCATACTTTTCTTCTCAGTTTATAAGTTTTACAGATTAAAAAAGATGACATAATTAATGAATAAATTTGATTTAAATTGTTGCAATTGATATTTATCGTTTACAAATTTAAAACAAGCACAGCAGTGTTTCTTCTCTATATAGCTTAAAAATAAAAAAATAAATAAAAACAAATAGTCAAATAAAGATGACTTTCCAATAAACTTGTACGGTAAGTAAACAAGCGCGGTAAATTTTATCATATTCTGGTTGTTTTGACTATACTTTTCTTCTCAGTTCTTTCAGATTAATAAAAAATAGGATATAAGTAATTAATAAAATTGAATAAAATTATTACAACTAATATTCGATTTCAAATTTGAATTTAATCGATTTAATGTAATCAAATTTAATCGATTACAAATTTGAAAAAAAAAAAACATAGAGGTGTTTCTTCTCCATATAGCTTCAAAATAAAAATAATAAATAAAAAACTAGTAGTCAAATAAAGATGACTTTCCAATAAATTTGTACGGTAAGTAAGCTAGCACGGTAAATTTTATCATATTCTGGTAGTTTTGACTATACATTTCTTCTCAGTGTTAACAGATTAATTAATGTTAGGATATAATTAATTAATAAAATTGAATAAAGTTATTACAATTAATATTTATTGATCACAAATTAAAAAAAACAAACAGCATACAGGTGTTTTTTCTCTATATAGCATCAAAATAAAAAAATAAATAAACGAAAAACAAGTTGTCAAATAAAGATGATTTTCCAACAAACTTGCAGGGTAAGTAAACTATCACGGTAAATGTTATCATATTCTGGTAGTTTTGACCATACTTTTCTTCGTAGTGTTAACAGATTAATAAAAATTGCGATATAATTAATTAATAAAATTGAATTAAATTATTGCAATTAATATTTATCGATTACAAATTTAAAAAATCCAATAACATATAGGTGTTTCTTCTCTATATAGCATCAAAAAAAAAGAAAGAAAAGAAAATGAAAAACAAGTAGTCAAATAAAGATGACTTTCCAATAAACTTGTACGCTAAGTAAACAAGCCCGGTATATTTTATCAAAATCTGGTAGTTTTGACCATACTTTTCTTCTCAGTGTTAACAGATTAGTAAAAATTAGGATTTAATTAATTAATAAAATTGAATAAAACTATTGCAATTAATATTTATCGATCCCGAATTAAAAAAAAAAAAAAACATGGGGGTGTTTCTTCTCTATATAGCTTCCAAATAAAAAAAATAAATAAAAAACAAGTAGTCAAATAAAGATGACTTTCCAGTAAAGTTGTACGGTAAGTAAACAAGCGCGGTAAATTTTATCATATTCTGGTAGTTTTGACCATACTTATCTTCTCAGTGTTAACAGATTAATAAAAATTGGGATATAATTAATTAAAAAAATTGAAAAAAGTTATCGCAATTAATATTTATCGATTGCAAATTAAAAAAAACAAAACATAGAGGTGTTTCTTCTCTATATAGCATCAAAATAAAAAATAAAAAACAAGTAGTGAAATAAAGATTAATTTCAATAAACTTGTACGGTAAGTAAACTATCACGGTAAATTTTATCATATTCTGGTAGTTTTGATCATACTTTTCTTCTCAGTGCTGACAGATTAATAAAAATTAGGATGTAATTAATTAATAAAATTGAAATAAATTACTGCAATTAATATTTATCGATTACTCATTTAAAAAAAACATAGAGGTGTTTCTTCTCTAAAGAGCTTCAAAAAAAAAAGTAGTCAAATAAAGATGAATTTAAAATAAACTTGTACGGTAAGTAAACTAGCACGTCAAATTTTATCATATTCTCATAGAGAAGTTATAAAAGAAAGAAAGAAATATTAATCTGCTAACACTGAGAAGACCATACTTTTCTTCTCAGTGTTAACAGATTAATAAAAGTTAGGATATAATTAATTATTAAAATTGAATTAAACTGTTGCAATTAATATTTATCGATTACAAATTTAAAAAAAAACCCAACAACATAGAGGTGTTTCTTCTCTGTATAGCTTCAAAATAAAAAAAAAGTAAATAAATAAAAAACAAGTAGTCAAATAAAGATGACTTTCCAATAAACTTGTACGGTAAGTAAGCTGGCACGGTAAATTTTATCATATTCTGGTAGTTTTGACTATACGTTTCTTTTCAGTGTTTACAGATTAATAAAAATTAGGATATAATTAATTAGTAAAATTGAATTAAATTATTGCAATTAATATTTATCGATTACAAATATAGAAAAAAAATGGAGGTGTTTCTTCTCTATATAGCTTCAAAAAAATGAAAAACAAATAGTCAAATAAAGATGACTTTCCAATAAACTTGTAAACCACCTTACAGAAGCAGGGCGAAAGTTTACCTGCTTAGAAGCTGTTTATGCCGGGAAAAAAGAAAGACCAGCAGATGGTGCTACTTGTGCTTACTATGACGTCACAAAACGCCGCCAGGTGCTGAGAAGAGTAGGGACTTCCGCTTCAAACGAACTCACCTTTCAGAAGAGTTTGAGAATCTCATTCAGGTGTAGGGAGAAATTCAGTCTAGTTTAGTTGGAAGAAGAATAACAAAAACAAAAGAAAAATATTGGAAACTACTGTGCTCTATATTTTCGTTCAGTTTAAAAAAGTGATTTTTTTTTCTTGTGTCGGCGTTTTAATTTTTGTCAGTTTGGCGATGCTTTAGAGTGTTGTTATCGTTTTGTGTTCGAAAATGAATTAATGAACAAGGATTTTTTCAACTGAATTGTGTTAATTTTGATTGACAGTTGTCTGTGTTTGAATGAGATATTTTTTAATGTTCTTTTTTAAGAAGATTTTGTGGTTCTAATGTAAACGGATAACTATTTGGTAAGTACTTCCTATTTTTAAGTTTCGATAATATCTAAATTATTATGTCACATTTTAACAATTTTAAGTTTTAAATAATTTTCTCTATAGCTGAAAATTGTATACTAAATTATATTACATTACCATTAACGTTCCTTTTAATTACATTTTATTCTTTTTATAATACGTAATAACAGTTATAAAAATTATATTCTAGACTGATTTCTGGATGACAATAAACGTTTTAACTAATTATAAATAATAGCAAAAACAAATAACGGTTATTTTTAAAAAATTGTGTAAAGTTGTAAGTTAAAAAAAATCATCAAGATTTCTTCCTTTAATGTAGGATTAACAATAACTTATATATTCCACAAATATAATTTAGTTGTATATGGGGATTTAAATTTCAACTGAGACAATATTTAACAGCTAATTTTTCTAATTAAAAAAACTATTTTTTATAAGATGTTCTCTGAAGCAAAGGTGGTAATTCTTTCTTAAAATATTATTATATAATATTAATTTTTAAAATTATCTACAATCATAATGGCTTGTATAATTTTTTTCATTTTTATATTATTTTCATATTAATAAAATTTTACTTATTTTTAACAAGATTCAATTGCCATTAGAATTGATTGCCAAAAGATTTAATTGCCTCTTGACATAAATTGAAATTTGTTTTCCAAATGACCTTAATATCATTTGTAATATAATTTTACTTCATAAAAGGGGCTTTGAACCCTTGTTTTTAAGCAATCGATAGCTAAAAGTTGATTTTTCTTTTGATTCAAAGTTTGACATCTTCCTTAGTTTTATAATATGTAGGGCTTGGGACAATATAGTAATAAGCCACACTTCATCTATCTGTTCCTAAGAATTATTATATACTTTACAGGTTTTTGCGATTATAAGTAAATAAGAGCTTAATACAAAGAAATATCTTACTGTTAATATGGAAGTCGAGGCGTTTTTTGGCAAAAACGCTCTTTGGAACAGTTTGAAAATGTGGCTTATTATTATTTTGCACGAAGATTTTTATGTATTTACATAAAACAACAGTATTCTGCATTTAAAAAATAAGTGGGGCAGTATGGGATTTCCAAAAAGTAAATATAAAATATTAGGCTCTAGTATGACACTTTCATGGTGACCTTGTAGACATTGTCTCTAAATATATTTTGTGGATAAGTTAGCAAGATATAATGGCATCAATAAAAACAGTTTTAATATATTATAAAACTCAGTCCTGACACTCTAATTTGTATAATTTAAAAATCATACATTCATTACCACGTTTTATCACAAATGAACGGGATTTTAAATGGCATCCATTTTAATAAATCATATTCTTCTAAAAAGACAATTTAATGGTGTGTACATGCTGAGTTCTCTGTGTTAAGGATTTAATTTTTAGCGTGAAAGTTGACAAATAGGCAGTTTTTTTAATGCTACAAGAGTAACCCTATTTGTAAAAATTTAAATCATTTCTGTTTTAGTATGTACTGTTTATAGTATCAGAACATCTGTTTTCATCTTATTTTTATATTTTTGCTTCTTAGATTTTCTCTTAGATATATACTTTTCTTGGAAATCATAAATTTTTTTTTCAAGAGGACGTTAAGAATCGTTTAAGAAGAATAAAAATTATAAAAGTTAAGTTTATTGTAGAATACACTTAAAAGTCAACAAAGGAAAAAACAGATGCTTATTGAGTTCAAAATTTTCATAGTAGAGCTGAATATTTAATGGACAACGGTTAAAATTTTAAAATGAATCTGTTTGGCATCGCCAACGGTGTTAAGAATCGTTCGGGGAAAAAACTGTATCTAGAGGTTAAGTTTTGCTTAAAGTACACAAAACGCTTAAAAACAGTAGAAGGTGAAAAAAAAAACCTTTCAAAGCTAGAAATTTTTATTAAATTGAAAAAATATTAGTTTAAATTTTCTACATAATTGTGTAAACATAAATTTAAGCGATAGTAAATAATACGTTAATAGCGGTCTATAAAATTGAGAATCCATGCCGGAAAAACAAGTTGTAGAGAAATTAGTTTTGTGTACATCGGGAGGAAAAACAACTTTCAAAGGCCTGAATTTTCTGTAAGATACTAATAAGATTCGACAATGGAAAAATAACATACAAAATGGAAATTTTATTGTGTTGTTTCGTTATATGTTCGCTATTAACTTTAGGTTCCTTTAAAGTACTTTCAGGGAAGAAACTAACCTAGTTGTTATGATGGCTTTTGATTATTTTGTTTTAAATCTCAATTTTAGATGTCGTCAAGAGTTAAACTTTTGAAATAAGTCCAACATTTATTAATGGTAAAACATGATATTCAGAAATGATATTCCTTGAGTTTAAATAGAAGGTGCTTTTGAAGTTTAGATTCAAAGCTTTGATTTTGAGGTATAAGATTTTAGTCGTAAATGCTCAGTGGTGAAAGATACTGAGCTGCAATAGCAAAGAACTTGAGTTCGATCCTTAGTAGCGGATTGAAGCCCATCCCGATTAAAATTAGGTATCAGCTTATGTAAGAAGTAAAGACAGCTTGTGCTCAATACTAACTATGTTGCCACTGTCATGCCTCATTTCACAAATCTCTTAAAATCCATGAATCCTCTCTGTATACTTAATCAGTATAGCATCTAGTTCATCGCATTAAATATCCACTTAATTTTAATAAATTTAAATTTCACAACTGAGTTTTATGAATTTAGTAACCTTCTTTTAGATTATTGCTTGAGTAAAAAATTTATTTTTAAAATATTTATTTCTTATTTAAGTTTTTATGTAGAGGGTAGCCTTTCTCTTAATTATTTCAAACGTAATTCCGAGTCCCGCAGAGGACTGATCGTTAAGACACGGTTCCCAGCAGATCACCGAAGTCAAGCATCATTGGCTGCGGTCAGTGTGCGGGTGGGTGACCACTTGGATTAGTCTGCGTAGGGACCGAGGGTGTGCAGTATTGGTCCTCGTTAAACTGTTCTACCGTAAAGTGCTCGACTTCGCGTGCAGGTCGTCGGGCTACCGAAGCAAGGGTGCCGTCCCCTCTGCAGAGGATCAAAACTGCGATGGCATGTCCTTGGATCATCCTCAGGGATGTTTCCTAGATCGTCGCCAAAAGCCCATTGTACAGCTCTAGAGCGACGTAAATGAACTACAACAACTACAACTACCTCATTCCGATCCATTTCTACCTAATTTATGCCTAATTTTTTACACCACAGATATTTGTTTCAACGTAATAAAACAGTTGTCTTTCTACAATTATTGAACATGTATTCTACTCGGAGAAAAAATATTCTGGCAAAGTTGTCGTACTCATTCGTTGATGACATTTCTGGTAAAAAAAAAAAAAAAAAGCTATAATTCTGATAATAATGAAGCATTTAAAACATTCATTTGGCAATTTTTTCATTCGTAAGGAAAGGGTTTACAGAAAAATATAATTTTTAAAGTCATAGATCTTATCATCTCATATTTCATAAAAAGAAAAAAAAACTGAAAGGTAATTATAACCGAATAAGTGGTTTTTACGTCATGTCTTAAGGTATCATGAAAGAATTACCAAATTTTACACTTACTACGAAACAGCACGGTCATAAAACCATATTTATTACACTTTTTCTTTACAATTCCTAGTAGACATGGCGAGAAGACATTAAATTGGAAAATCCGTTAATGAAAATGGAGGTAGCTGGAAGCTTTGTTTAAAAATAAAGGCTATTTTAAAAAGTCAGATAATAATCATTATTTTAAATGGTAAAAACTTGTAAATTTCGTCATTTTTGTTTTACATTATTTTAATTACAAGTTGCAATGCAAATATAAATATACGTAACAATTTATGAAAAATAGTGATTATGAATTTAAAAAAATATATAAGATACTGCTAATGTCAGTGACAAAGACGCGACACTTGATTAAGATTGATAAATAAGAAATATTTACTCGTGTGTTAGTCGCTCTGTTGTGATTTAATAACTTTTAAAATAATATGGATATTTTATACATATAATAAGAATCAAAATCTTGCTCGAGAAAATGTTTCATACACGAAAAAATGCGTATAAATTATCTTTTAATATCTTTATATTTTGTTTTTAATGAATTTGTTGTAACAAATTGATTGATTCAAACATTACGAAAAAAAATCTAGTTGATCATTAGATAATTTTAGTAGTTAAATTCGCACAAAAGTTTTCTTGGGAAATACAAGTAAAAAAATTAGTTTATTTTCCTTCATTTGCTGACAATGTAAAGGAATTTGCGCAGTCGTTGCCTAACAATAAATAACACTAATATATTGATAATTTTATTCTCACTTTTACTTTCTTAAAAGTTTTCCTTAAATTAATGAAATAAAAAATAAAATTATTTTATTTCATTTGCTGACATTGTAAATGATTTTGCGTAGCCTTTGCTCAATAATGTGTTAATTATTTTATTCTTATTTTTACTCTCTTAAAAGTTCTCTTTAATTATCTTATTAGTTTAACAATTTTTATTAGTTTAACTTGGTTTGAAACAAATTTTTAGTCTGTTTCAGATAAAAATGATTGTCATTTAACTTTAAATGCATGTTTTTCAGACTATCTATTCGATATAAAATATAATTTTTTAGTGAGTATGCTTTCGGTATGTTACAAAGGTTAAAAACCTTTCTTTGACTTTATTTTTACGACATGAGTATTCTTAAGCTGGCTTGTAGCCAAATGTCGTTGTAAGCTCAGTAAAAATACTTTTCCCATATTAAATGAGTACATTCATGTATTAATATCTTCCTAGTTTTATCACAGCACCGGGATAGTCTGTAGGGAACTTTAAGGGGGGAGGGAATGTTGCCATTTCTGGAGAAGGGTTAAAGTTTAGAAGTGTGAAATAATTTTATACTACTGGGGGTATTCCCCCCCAATTTATAATATTTTTAATTCACCCCCTCAAAATAACAAAAAGAACAAACATTTATAACCTGTGACAGGAACGGAATTTTTAATTTTTTTTTTTTGGGG